CTCTTCTCTAGTCCTGTTCATATTGGGTAAAATATTTTTTGTCTGGTTTCCCATAAAGCAGAATCCAGTAAGGCCAGCCTGTCTATTTACTTTTATGTATGTATATCTACAGGAGATGATCCCAGCAGAAACATACGCTAAGAAACAGCTGCTGTTTTCAATTATGACACAAATTGAGGAGGCTGTTTTTGTTCAGAGTATCCCTGCACAAAAGACTGGCTATGTACAATATATACTTTTTCTCAACAATGGGAATTATTTTTTTAAATCCAATATTTTAGAAAGAGGAAGATTTCTCCCATTAGATGAGGATTATCGTGGTTACATTTTACAAAGGCCATAGATCACCTCTGCCATAGTAACATCTTTCAGTCACTATCAATGCAGGCTACATTTGAAATGCTGACTTAAGAGATGAAAAACTCTCTATCCCCATATCACTCCCTTGAGCCATCTTGCAACTTGCTGCATTTATTTTTCAGAAATTAATTTTAAAAAGAAGCAACTGTTTCTGCTTCAGTCCTTTGACTTCTGTCCCAGTTGCGTTTTGAAGCATTATTGCAAAGTATTCAATTTAAATGCGCAGTCAAGTCTACATCATTATTCCTATTTTATACTAACATGAAAGAACAGCCAACGCACCTAGGGAAAAAAAAAAGGCCAACACAACCTCCCCCAAACCTTATATTGAAATGGTATTGTGGTTTACAAGGATATCTTGTGAGGAGATTGAAATTATTGCAGCAGAACTTGGAGATACATTGTATTATAAACACTAATTAAGGAAAGTATTTATGTTTTTGGCTTTAGACAAGACAATTCTGCATTCTTAAAAATGAATTAATTACAGAGACTTATGTTCATACCTAAATGTGTTCCAACTTAACAGCTATCCATTAGTCACAGAATAATTGGCCACTCATTAACGTCCAAGGTCTTTTTAACCACATCCTCCCGCATCCACCCATCTGCCCCATTCAGCTTGCTTTGCAATCAGTGCTTGTGATGGCAAGAATTAAGAAACACAAAGCAATGATGATTCCCAATAAAGCATGATACACAAAGCTCTTCCTCTAAAATAGTGTAACACATGTGATTGGTTCATTGTTCCTACAGCCAGTTTCTGAACTTAAATAGGAATGTTCAGAACAGGGCTGCCTATAGAGGCAGGGGAAAGGGGTAGCTGCCATGGGGCCTGTCAATTTAAAAGAGCTTGTGGATCCCGGTAGTTGCAAGGTCTGCAGCTCTGGGCCTTTTAAATCGCTGCTGGAGCCGCCGGCAGTGTGTGCCCGGCAGTCCCATTAGTGCGGAAGGGCTGGCTGGGGGACGTTAGTCCCTAGCTCCGCCCCTTCTGCCTGAGGTCCTGCCCCTTTGGGGGGGCCGGGAGACTGGAGCCAGTTCTCCCAGTGCTCAGGGACGTCTCGTCAGCCTTGGTTCAAATCCAAATTGGTTGCTTATAACCATAGTTCCCAGTCCTTTTAATTTTGATGTGATTTGAAAGGGCAATGGGACTCTACCTGTACCCCTGGCCTGTTCCATTAATACCAGAGATATTGTGATAACTTAAGATGCTTTTGAATCACTAGGAATGGGACAGGAAAGCTTAGATGATGGTAAAATTGGAGGCTTCTGAAGTGTAAATTCCTGTAAAGCTCAAAACTTAGGTCAGATTTAGTTGCTGGCAAACTTTAGTTGGCTCTCAGTGATGGATCCTCTACAGTGATAACACATTACATAAGTTGGATAATTTTCAGAAAACCTGAGCCAAGTAAACAGCTCAGATCAAAACCTTGGTTTCAACTCCAAACAAGGAAAACCTGATACTTTGGGCCAAGTTTACTCCATGTTTTTGGGACTTGTACGATCCTGAAACTAAAACTAAAGCTTATAGGGTGTGGACACATCTGTCATCCTACCAGCCTCACTTGCCTGCCGGGGTGCAGCTTTAGTTAGGTGCTCTTCACCCCATTGTTTATTTTGGTTAGGCTTTGAGAAAGCGGGGGATGGTGCTGTTTATTTGATGTAAAGGAAATGAAGAGCTTCATGTTGTCTGAGGACTGCTGGAACATTGGCTTGTACATTCTCACTATGAGCCATCAGGACCACTGTAGACAGTGAATAATAAAGGGGAGAGGACTGAGCCTTACTGGATTTTGCAAGTGAGGACTTTACAGGTATGAAAACAATAATGATCCTGTCAGAGAACAATGGCCTCTGCCATTTTGAGAGTGCATTTGGAGCAACAAGAAAGCCAGCCACCAGAGCAACAAGTACTTCCTCTGCTCCGTACCCCTGAGGCATCTGTTTTATTGGTAACAGACAAACAACCCTGGAGATTTTTGTTATGCTTGTTTCCCAAATAACTTGCTTAGGTCAGATCTACACTACAGAAGAAAGTCAACCTAAGATACACAACTCCAACTACAAGAGTAGCGTAGCTGGAGTTGATGCACCTTAGGTCAAATTTCTGTGTCATCCCTCCTGCAGGAGTTTGATGAGGGAAATTCTCCCATTGATTTCTGTTACTCCTTGCCACCCAATGGAGTACTAGGGTTGATGTGGGCACCATCAGCGGTCTATTTAGGCAGATCCTTCCTAGACAGCTAAATCGAATCTTGGGAGATCGATCTCCAAAGCGTCCATCTCAGAGTAAGTGAAGACAAGCCCGTAGAAAAGAGAGGTTAGATAGTAGTTTCTGAAGTCTCTAGCAAGGTCTAAAGCAAAAGCCCAAAAGACACACAAAAGTCTGCTACTACTACTGCTGATCTGGCCTGTATTTGAACAGTGATGAGTTTTGTAATTGGCAATCTCTTGAGCTATTCAGTCCACCCCCTCCAAAAAAAAAAAAGCCTTTTTAAAACAAAAATTGCACTATTAAGACTTTATACTACACATTTATAGTTTATTGCCCTCAGCTTCACTTTGGGCTTAATTGGCTTAAATGCTTAATTAACATGGTGATGATTAATGTCTAGTGGCAATTAATTTTCAAGATCTTATTTTTTAACTTAAGATCATGAGCACAGTATTAACTTTATGCACCCGAAGTTCTGCCAGTGTGTTTTCTTTACATTCGTGAAATCATTTGCATTTCATTTCATTGTGAAGATTTGCCCTGTAGTAACAATGATTTTAGGGCTGGTATTAAAGTCCTGCCTGCATAGGAAGATTAGAGCCACTTTGAAAACAATTAAATGTCATTGTTGGGCTTGTGTGATTCATAATTAAATGACAAGCAATGAATGAGTGTACTTGGATGCCACAGTAACCACACCCACAAAGAATACTTCTGAATACTGTGAATAATTATCTTCCGTTTACAAAGTGCCTTTCTTGCAAAGGGACCCAATGTTACTTTATAAATTTACTAAAACATTGACCCAGCATTGCTCAGGTCCTTAATAATAAGTTTTGTTTTTCTTTATTTAAATCATTGCTCTTGGGTGGGGCTGAGGATGAGGGTTTCAAGATGCAGGCTGCCCTGGGGAGAGAGGACAACCCCAGCCCTCTCTCACCACAGCTGCTTGGGGCTAGGTGAGAAGCACCTGTCCATGGCTGCTGCAGCTCTAGGGGGCGAATCTAGTACTAAAGCTATACTGCACCCTTCTTCCACAAAAGCTTATGCAAATGAATCATGGAGTAGAATATTGCCATGCTTCATTTGCATAATTAATTAGGGTCCGTTTTTGCGCAAGAAGCTTTTGCACAAAAAGGAGCTGTGTCACTGTCGACAGCTCCTTTTTGCACAAAACGCCCTCTTGTGCAAGAGTCGTTCTTCCTAATTTTTTCAGGAAGATTATGTCAGGTGATGAAACCTCCAGGAATATGTCCAACAGAAATTGGTAATCCTATATTCACCCTTTCCAGAATATCTAGTCACCAATTATATCCCAGTTTAGGTCTTTGCTGACCTTTTGCGTATGGGAGAATGTCACCCTGAGGACGATGTAGATACAGATAGATAGTGATAACTCATCCCTGATGAAATAGCGGTGACGTCTATGGAAGAATGAAACACTATAAGATTACCCCTTCCCCTCACGCCCTGCTGCACCAGCCCCAGCTCTCCCCACCCCTGGCTATCGGGCAGGACCAAGGCCGCACCAGCACCGGCTCTCTAGCCCAGGCACAGGAGAGGTGGGGTGGGGTGGGCTGAGGCCTCACCAGGCCCCATGCTCTCCCTCCAGCCGCCAGGGAGGGAGAGGGCAAGGCCACTGCGCAGCAGCCCTGGCTTCCCCCCAAGCACCGGGGAGGAGGGAGGCTGGAGCACGGCAGCCCCGGCTCCTGAGCACTGGGGAAAGGAGAGGGGAGAGAGAGGGAGGAAGAAGGCAGGTGGGATGCAGAGTGATGTGATAACCTCTCTGTTGTTCTGCAGGAAATTTTTAAATATAGGTAGAGATTTTTTATATATAGGTAGAGATTATTGATGATGATTGATACACATAGGCACTGCAGCGTGGCGAGAATTTCAGTACTTCCCGAGTAGCTCTCATCCTCTCATTCCTGGAAAAGGACTATAAAGTCCCCTTTTTATCTCCCCTACTCTAACTACAGAGAGGGCTAAAGGCAGACTTTCAGTCTTAACAGGGAATTAAACACTTTACAGCATAGACTGACCCTTATTTTGTATGTGTGCAGCATTGAAGCTCTGATCCTGATTAGGGATTTCAGATGTAATAGAAATACATACTGATGAGTTCCAGAGTTTTGGCAATACCATATTTTTGTATGACATATAGGACCATAAGTGGCAGGCCACCTTCTCCTCATAATAATATGAAGGTGTTGTGCACAGCATAGAACTAAGCAGTAGCTGCAGGTATGCAGTGCTGCTGAAAAAAGCTATTGTTTTGGGGTAGCAAGAAGATTTGGCTGCATGCTACAGATTGTCTATAAAGAAGGCAATTGTGCCTTTTCAGACTATTTGACACTCTCTCCCCTCTCCCTCACCCCTCCCCGCCCCTCAACACTCACAAAGAATCTTCCTATTCCACCAACAGTTCCTCTCTGAAGAGGCCAACAACAGTGCATTCCTTGAAAAGCTGCCTTCAGAACACAGGGAGAGACAAGAGCATCTTGGGGCCCTGGAGGCCAAGCTAGAGGTCAGTGCCTGTCATTTTGCTGCTAACTGCACTCCTGTGCCACTATAAAAGGAACTCTTAGAGGCAGATGGAGATCTTCCATTTAGTCTCCCTGCATATTTTTTGTAAATGTTCAGCGGTCTCCCTTATAAAAACAGCCATGTTTTCTGTTAACAATGGATAAATTCTCCATTTCTTGCTGGCTTTTTGGAGGCATATTTTTGAGCTGGAAGTTATCAAGAAGCAGGACATTTTATTTTCATAGTGCATTACAGAGAATAAACATGACCTTGGTTAAAAGACCATCAGGTATTTTGAGTGCCAGCTACACTATGGCTCAGATTCTCTGCCCTAATCAGTGCTGGCACTGAAACCTCCCCTAACTCACCGGCCAAAGTTGTCCTCATTATGGAGAAATCAGCCAGGGGGCATGGATTGGGCAAAGCCAGCTTCTACTCTTCTCTCCCTGCAGGGAACTTTTTTTGGGGTAGCGGGGAATGATTTTTTAGCAATTTTTAGCTAGTTTATATTCCCAGTTTACAGTAACTCCCCCGCCCCCTTTGTGCTGCTCAAACTTGGGTCAGGGTGAGGGTGGGAGAAGAGAAATAACTGGCTTCTTGACAACCCTCCACATTCTGCTGTGAGGAGCAGAAAATACTTATATATACCATCTGACCCTGTGAAAACAAACCGTGTCATAGGAATTGCTTACAGTTTGTAATGCCCAGTCACAATAAAAGTACAATTTGCTCTTGCAGGATAGACTTAACTATGTTCTAATCTAGCCTGTGTATCATGCTGCAGCCTGTGGCTAAAGTGAAAGACATTGAATCACTTTCTTGTCTATGGTACTTCTCAGAGGCATAGTTAAGTCTAATTTACATTGCAAAACTAAATCATGCTTAAAATATTTTGGGACAGCCACATTGTAACTGATTCCCCCAACAATTGTTTTTACAAAAAAGTAGACGTCCTCAAGTTTGAAACAGAACAAAAGCCCACCCACCAGTGAAGGCCAAATTTGACCTATTAGATTCAGGGAACTTTGTAAAAATTATGAAATGTGTTGTTTAAAATAATTCTGAGTTACATTTCACGGGTTCATGTTCTATAACAAGTAATGTCAAAGATATGGAAGACTGGATAAGAATCCAAGCAATAATTTGGAAGTTTTTCTCATTATACTTATCAGGACTCTTTAGTCTGGAAAATGTTGTTGGAAATCATGTGACTACAGGCTCTTTTGCCAAATTGCCAGTGGCTCTTGTTTCCTGCCAAGTCAGAATTACTGCAAGAATAGCCTTTTCAGTACTTATCATTCAAGATGGAACTTGGAAATGCAGAGGAATGTTGAAAAATGTAACTGTTTTTTAACAAAATGATGCTTTGTTTTCTGGTATGAAAATAAGGTTCTGTTCTGGAGTCTATTCTTATTTTTCCTAGTCCTTGTCATCTATCCTAATAACAGTGGAAACCTCACAACCCTAGTATTGAGACCCAAATATTTGGAGTGACATAAAAGAAACAGTAGGAATATTTGCCCTTCTAGAACACATTTTGTTCAAGGACGATGGAACACTTCAGAGATATTAATGAATTAAGCTTCACAACATCCATAAGTGCAAAATTGTTTTTTTCATTATATGTAGGACTGGGGGTGGGGGAAGGTACTGAAATTAACAAATGCAATGATGTATCCTTTTAAAGTGACCATATTTTATTCTGTGAAGTTATTTTAGGGGGAACCTTTTTAGAAAGTAGGGCCAAGTGCTGGAGCTCTGCTACTGCAGAGTTAAAGATTAACAGGTGGATTTCCTTCCCATAAGCATTATAGATAACTTGTCCAACTCCATACGGCATGTCAGTGAAAGACCTTGGGATAGAATCTAGATCCCCTTGCTTGTTAAGCTTATGTGTTAGACACAAGTCCGTCATTTTCCTTTCCAAACGGCTACCAGTAAGGATAATGATAATAGGATTGCACCCATAGACTACTGTATGTTTCTAGGCAGGCCTGTCACAATGGATGTGATTTTTTTCAAATGTGGGTGGATCTAACTACTATGTTCCTCTGTTCCTTTTGTTTTGAATGGACATTCCACTAAGAATGGTGCTATCAAATATGTAGGAAATGGGCTTAATATCAGTTGTGAAAATGTATTAGAAAATGCAAGAGTTTATTCAGAAATCTTCTTTTCTCCCACCCCACTCCACCTTCCCCCACACTTTTTCTCTCTTCCAGGTAAATGCTACTTTTCAGCTGGCACTGCCAATTGTGTTGCAGCTAGTTGGTTGCCAATGACAACATTTTAAAAGCCTCTTTGTCAGCCTATGCTGGCATTGCTGTTGATGACATTGGTGCACCTCTCCAGCTGTCTATGGATGTACAGCCGGTCCCCAAGTTACAAACGGTCAATTTACGACCGTTCGCATTTACTACCAAAGCTCCCATTAAGCGGTCGTAAAGGTGGTCTCCGAGTTACAAACACGCGGTCGCTTACGGACAGCGCGGTCGCAATGTAACTCAATGGGGTCCGACTTATGAACATTTCGAGTTACGGCCAAGTATTTGGTCCATAACCCGTTCGTAACTTGGGGACGGGCTGTATTGAATTAGCATTAATGGTAGTGCTTGGTGATATACAGAAGGAGCAGATTGATTGTGGCCAACAGGAGACAGTAAGATGCATCAGACAGTGGCTTTCATAGCACCCATGGGATGATACATACACCCTAATAAAATGGGACGAGACAGATCAAAGAGTAGCAGGAACTGAGGTGAGCAGGAAGTGGGTGAAGAGAAGTATTGGAATGTTCTACACACTCTGGGGACATGTTCTGGAAGCCCCCCTGGCCATGTGTATTAGAGAAGAAATAAACCTAGGTTAGCAATCACTTTGGACTGCCTATATTTCATGCATGTCAGACAAAGCAGTGCGTGTGCTTGAGTGCTGTGTTCAGACTTGCATCACTCTGTGTTCTGGCCTACAAAACCTGGATATTTTATTTGTTGTTTGATTTATTCTTGTGGAAGCAGACTAGAAAGCTCTGGTGTGGTGCCCCTAGGTATTAATTTAAATTGAGGTTACTTCATTAAGGCATGTAACATCCTTAGTTTTGCTTTAACACCTCCTGCAGCTGGCAGTGGCTGTGTGGATGAAGCCAGCTGTCTAAATATATATCACACAGAAAGTCTGAGAAATCTTCCCAGACGCACAGAACATATACCTGATGCAGATGTAGGGTGGGAACTAGGAGTTTCTGAGGAGTAGGACCTAAAGTAATATGGCTATGACTATAGCTTCCTTAAAGTTGTAGACAAATGTTTGAGCCACTGTAATAGATAAATAGAGGAAGCACTTGAAGAACATCTATCCTGTGTCCTCCTTAGAAGCAATCTCTGGTATATGTAAGCCATGAAAAGAACTTTAAGAGAGCTGCATCAGTGTGTATTTGAATGCAGGAATAAATAACTGTGAAGAATCAAAGCAGGTGAGGCAAAAATTAGTTGCCAAATTAAAAACCTCATACAAACTGTAAACCAAGTTATTGACTGAATGCTGTGCTTCCTTATGTAAAATATCACACTGTATCCTTACAGGAAAACTGGGAAGTAATATAAAATGCTAATCAGTATGTCTAATTGCATAATAGAGTAAATCACTAGAAAAATTAAAGATCAAATTAGGGCTGAAATAACAGGCTTCCCATGAGCAAGCATTGAAAATCATTCTTCAGTGTGTGGCCCCAGGCCTTATTTGCTGTGTACTATTAAAACCTTGCTCTGAAGACAGAATTAATTTCCTCATACTCTTTTCTAGGGCACTCATAGCCATAGTATCTGAGTGCCTCCCAAACAGCAATTAATTTATTTCAACAGTATTACTGCAAGTTGTGGGATTGGTATTATCCCCTTTTTACAGATGGGGAACTGAGGTGCAAACATTGAGGTCAAAAGTATCCACTAACTTTGGATGGCCAGTCTAAGACCCCAATGGCCTGATTTCTTGGGCACTTAGCATTCTACAGCACTTTATATAGTCAAAGCACATTTTCCATTGATCTCAGGTGCTACTAGCAGTGCTCAGCACAACAGATTCAAATTGAGCACCCACAAAATGAAGAACAAACAGTTAGTTCCTATCTGTGAAAAGCTGGATTTCAGTGACTTGCCCAGCACCACACAGGCAACCTGTGGCACAGTCAGCGAAGTACTACACCTTCTCCTGTGCAATCATAAACTACCACATCTATCTTTTATCTTCCTGCAAACTCAGCCTCGCTCACTCATACCTTCCATCATCCACAACAAATGAGGCGGGGAATCCTACAGAGCACACTTTCGTTCACTACAGAACCCTGGTTAAGTCCCAGAGCAGGATGCTCCTGTGCAGAGAATGAAGAAAGAGTTCCGTGGGGAAAAAAAGTGTGATCATGTAAAAAGGCTACATTAAAGTGCATCTGCGCAAGAGGGCAGAATTAAGGTGACATGGACCCTCTAAAAAGTCTGACATGTCCCAGCATTTGCATGTGTGTGTTACACTCTGAGACAAGAAAGAGTTCAAACCAGGAGTATTTTAATACATTTAGAATCTAACCCCTCACCCTCCAGAGACAGTCAGGTTTGGCCAATGTATATGGCACATGATGGTTTGGCACATGATGGCATAGATCACATTAGTAGATGTGCAGGTGAATGAGCCCCTGATAATACGGTTGATGTGGCTAGGTCCAGTGATGGTGTCACTAGGGTAAATGAGTTCTGAAAGCATGTAGATAAGTATGATGGTCGGTATATAGCCAGTATAGGGTGGTGCTTATGTGACCATCACTTATTTGCTCTGTAGTGGCAGGAAGTGGATTTGTTGTGTGGACTGGTCTAGGCGGAGGTGGATGCTTGTTGGAAATTGTTGAAATCCTGGTGGAATTCTTCAAATGCCTCCTTTCTGTGGGTCCAGATGATGAAGATGTCATCAGTGCAAGTAGAGGAGGGCCATTTGGGGACGAGAGCTGAGGAAGCA